TACGGCGTGTCTGTCGCTTAGGCAATTTACACAGCGATTTGCCTTCTCTACTGTTTCTAATCGTTGACTTGGACTTTTCTTCAGAAAGATTTGACATTTGTTTAGAAAGTGAGATGCTTTACAAAGCGGACACGAAATTGAAGAAACTCCCGATGCTGTAGCGCTGGTCGCCTTCTGCGCGCGAGCTTGTTTGTTTACATTCGCGGGATGCAATTCTTCGAGCGCGCGAGCACGAGAATCGAGGAATCGGTCGAGTTCGCTGAATGTTGGGATTCGCGCGTCATCCCCGCCTTTCAGTTTCCACGCTTTCCTAGTGGCGGGATCAAGCCTTTGCGTGACGCTATACATCAGCATGTCGCTGAGAATGTCGGATTCGGAACGATCTAAATTCTTCAGCGACGTGATTGCGCGATTTGCTTTATCCCGAAGCTTGCTGAGTTCGCTCGCTGATTCGCGGGAAACGCTCGGCAGATTATATAACGCGGACACATGCATCTCGACTAATCGGCGCTTATTTTCGTACCTCGACTCAAGGGCCTTCCACGCAAGTTCAAAGTTATCCGCGGTTACTGGGATGCTTCGAATAGATTCAAGCGCCCGCCCGGCGAGGCTTGATGAGAGAAAATGCATTCGCGCGAATGCAGAAAGTTCGGGATTGTTAATGATAAGAGACGTAAAGCGATCGCGGAACGTCTCCCAATCTTCATATTTCCCTGAGAATGGCGGAATGTTGATGGGCGGCAGATGCGCCAGTGAGAATGAGGAGGCAGGCGGCCCATGACTGCACGCGGCGCCCGGAGCCTGGTTCGCTGTCAGAGGCGGCGGCGTTGGCGCGAGTGCCTCCAGATATTCGGCCATGTAATCCAACGTCGTCAAGTGGATGTCCTCGGCCTGATCGAACAGTTCGCTTTGAAAATAGTCGAACGTGCTTCTTTTCGCTTCCGGAATAACTTGCAAGAGGGCCGAGTGCACGCGAACGCATTGCGTCCAGACTTCTTTGGAGCTAGCGATTCGCGCTCGGACCTTTGCAGCGGTGTAGTTATTCCTTCCGAGCTTTTTGAAGTTATCGAGCGCTCGAGTGATGGAGTGCATCAACAGCTGCTGTTGAGCCAGGAGGTCGTTGATGGTAGCTGAGACTTCCGGCACGGCAGTCATGTTAACGGCTGAAGGGATGCACTGAATATCTCGATCCGGCTCGAAGGACCAATTTTATGTTCGGGCGCGCAATAAACGCGCCGAACGAATCGCCGAATCCGTTCCGCGAGAACGCGAGATAATTGCGAGTGGCTTCGT